GAGGGAGGAAGGAAGGAAGGAAGGAAGGGAAGGAGGGAGGGAGGGAAGAAACAAGGAAGGAAGGAAGATTGGTTTCTCCTGTTATTTTATTTGAAATGTCAGGGAAATGTATTCTGCCCAGAAGTTTTAAAAGTCTGTTTCCTTCAGATGAACCCGAAGAAGTTCCAAAAAGATCAGAGTTCTAAATCTTTATGCAGGTTTAATAATTATGGCACCCACTGGCCCATAAATGTAACCAGCAGCCTCCTCTCCCTCCTTGGTCTGCCTCTGGTTTCTTCTTTTTCTCAACTGAGAGACTCAAAATACAGACAGGCATTGGCCAGACCATATATAAAAATAGAACTCCGACCCCTAATCTGCAGCAAAAAGCTCAGGAAACCAAACTATTATCTACAGTAAGCACCCCAAGAAGCTAGTCTACTATCTATAAATCAGACTTCTAGAAGTCAGACCACTATCTCTGTCAACCAGTCCAGGAAGCCAAACAATAAGCCCTGTAAAAAGTGGCCCAACATGACCAGGACTTGACTGATACCTGACAGCATTCCTATCTTTGCTGTTGCTCCCAACTTAGGTCCGACCTACGTGCCCCTAAACATCTACCTGGAATGCCTCACTCCCAGGTAGTTGGCCCACCCTCATACCAAAAGCGTCCAACCTGGGCACATCCGAGGCCCTCCCTTCTTTCCTCTGCAGCTTTCCTACTCCTCTGTCAGCCCTTCAGTCTTGGCCAAAATGCAAGTGACAGCGGCTAAGTCTCTTGCTATAGCAAGCTCTGAATAAACAGCCTTCACCTGTTTTAAGTTGGCTGCTCTTCATTTATTTCCACACAACTTACAACACAAAAAAGGCTGGCAAAGCTCAGGGTTCTCAACTCTTATATTTTTTTACTTTTTAAAATGTTTGCTTTATTTATTTTTGAAAGAGAGAGAGAGAGAGAGCATGAGCAGGGGAGGGGCAGAGAGAGAGAAGGAGACACAGAACCTGAAGCAGGTTCCAGGCTCTGAGCTATCAGCACAGAGCCCGATGCGGAGCTCAAACTCATGAGCCGTGAGATCATGACCTGAGCCGAAACTGGATGCTGAACTGACTGAGCCACCCATGTGTTCCGTGATGAAGAGGGAAGCATTCAGCAAGATAAAGCACAAAAATCAATTATTTCCAGTATGTTCTTCCAACCAATATTCTGAAAGATGGAAATGGCTATTAGGTGTAAAACGTTCTCTAGTTAAACAGGTTTGGGAATTGCTGGGTTAAGTGAGGCAGAAGGGATTTCATTGCTACAGGGCTTCTTGGGACCTGCTCTCTCTATGCTAAGGAGTTGCAAATTGCTGAGAGGTAGATACTATAGTCTTTCTAAACAATATTTCAAGGAAGAACCTATTTATAGTAGAGCCCTGATTTTTCATGAAAAAACACCACCATGCTTGTAAATGCTGATATTGAAGCTTCTGAAGATCACTTTAGCTCTAAAATCTTCTAAGCTTGTAGGTTTATGGGCATTATAACCTATAATAGCACCTAGGGCAACATGATATGATATTCTCTATGTGACTCTCAGGAAAGATACGATTAAAATGTTACCAGAACTAGAAAGTTAATATAGGAGACATTTGGTCAAACGTCTCTTGAATTCTTCTAGTCATTCTGGGCTTTTAAAAAAGCAAGATTGAACCTTTGTGCAACAAATGTTAGACTTCACTCTCTCAAGGCCATGACAAGTGTAAATGATCTATATGGACATCCTTCTACTCCTTTTATGTCCACTATGCCAGACTAGGAGAGGCCCAAGGGTACAGAAGGGAAAGAAGTTTCTGTTGTGGATGAGGACTGGGCTTGGATTTGTTCCTCATTCCCACAGACGTAGAGTCGAACGTGCTCTTCTGATGTTTCTCAGATCTCTCCTCACTCCTCCAAAAATGCCTCAGGTGGTATCCAGGACTCCTCTCTGTCCTCCCAGCCTAGTGACTGAAGCAAAGTCCCCTCACCTCCACAATAAATTACTACGCATGAAGTCTCGGTGGACCTTTAAACAGGAGACAGGGGGGCGCCTGGGTGGCACAGTCGGTTAAGCGTCCGACTTCAGCCAGGTCATGATCTCGCGGTCCGTGAGTTCGAGCCCCGCGTCGGGCTCTGGGCTGATGGCTCAGAGCCTGGAGCCTGTTTCCGATTCTGTGTCTCCCTCTCTCTCTGCCCCTTCCCCGTTCATGCTCTGTCTCTCTCTGTCCCCAAAAAAATAAATAAACGTTGAAAAAAAAATTTAAACAGGAGACAGGTTTCTTTGGTGTGGAACCTGTCCTGTTTCTGTGTGTCATTGTACCCCTCTCTTTCCGGGCATTTTACACACACACGGGAAGTATTGCTCAGCAAGTGACACGGAAATGAGAAAACCGGACTGCCTACCACTAGACACGGAGCACCAGGAATATTCTACCCACTTTACAAATATGAATTTATTTACTCCTTGTATCCATTCCATAGGGAAGACATTTTTCTATTCATTTTCACAGGTAAAAATATCGAGGCACAGAGAAGGTAGGTAACTTGTCCGAGATCACACAGCCAGGGAAGGGTTGAGCCCAGCTGTCAGGCTCCAGAGCCTACGTTATTAATTGCTACGCAATGCTCCCTCAGACAGACCTACTTCTAATCTGGTTCAGGTCTAAAATAAAGTTTGGACCATAAGGTCATGAACTTGATATCTTGAAAAGGTCTGCCCTCAGCACAACCCATTCTTCAGAAGAGGGAAGAAAAAGGAGAGAAAGGTATTGGATGGGGGAGACACAGAACGAGGAAACGAGAAGAATAATGGAGACTTGAGCACAGCAGCAGTGTAACTGAGCTCACATCCAGCTTTATAGCAAGTGATGCTGAGTTCCTGGTCGGCCGTCCCTTAGGGGTCCGCTGGACTTTTGAAGTGTCTTCTTCAGTCCAGGATGTGTTAACAGGGTAGGTCTCCAGAGGCCCAAAATGGAGGAGCATTCCCTGAGGTTCCTGCCTCTTCCAATCAACCCATACTTTAGTTCCATAATGAGCCCAGGGGAAGAATGCCAGCAGGCTCAAAACAGCATTGAGGGTCATCATCCCCAACTTAGGATGAGGCCCATGAGCCCCCCAGAGACTGCACTGCCTCAAATCACACAGCTAGAAAGAAAGAGCTGTGACTCAAAGCCAGGGTCATTCGACAACAAAACTCTACCATTTTCTCCTCCCTCGTGCTGGTCCATAAGTACCTGCCAGGGAACCCAGCGGCCCCAGTGACAGATATCCTAGGCTATGGTAGCCATCCACCTTCCCTCTGACTTCACTTTCTCGAATCCACCGAGACCTCTAAACCATTACATACCTGCTATGCCATTTGTTTTCAAAGCAACCCAATGAGACTCGCAGGGAAAAGTACTAACACTACCATTTTGCAGATGATTATATAAAAACATTGGCAATTTTACTGACAAATAATCCTACCAGTGTTTCAGGATTAAGTTCTTATTGTTTATTATGGAAATTACTCACTAGTTTCTCTTTTTTTAAATTTTTTTTAACCATTTTTTTCATTTCTGAGAGACAGAGAGAGACAGAGTGCAAGCAGGGGAGGGGCAGAGAGAGGGAGACACAGAATCCGAAGCAGGCTCCAGGCTTTGCGCCATCAGCACAGAGCCCGATGCGGGGCTCGAGCTCACAGAACACGAGATCATGACCTGAGCTGAAGTCAGACGCTCAACCAACTGGGCCACCCAGGTGCCCTGGCTGGTTTCAAAACCAAAATAAGTGAGGTCAAGAGTCTTGATTTTATGAAACCATCAGGAGCTGCCTGCTTTTTGCCAGTTGAGTGGGGCAGGACATACTCACCAGTCAGGAAGTCGGGGTCAGGGGTGGGCTCCGAGATTTCCTCCAGGCACTGATTCTCCAGGGGAACAGTGGCCACCACAAGACCATCTGGCAGTTGCTGGTCTAAACCCCGAGCAAAGTTGTTTTGCCTGGAAATAGAATAGATGGTCATTTCTGAGTGTTAAGGTGAATCCCAGTTCTTGGTGGGCAATCTAGATCTCAACCTACAATAAAAAAATTCTTCCTGGACCAAAAGGCTTCCCTCCTCCTGAACCCCACTTGCTGGACATGCCTGGAGTAGGACAGGGTGTGAGAGGTAGGGTGAGGGCCAGAACAGACGAGACATAAATCAGCTAAAAAGGTTATTCAGAAGATAGAGAACATTCTTCCCTTCCTCCCATCCCAGGCCCTACCTCCTGATCCACACTCCCCAAGATCTGGGCATACACAGTCTTATTTCTAGACTACAGAGAAGATTCCAGCCACCACAAGATTAGTTATGACATCTCACTGCTTGCCATTGGCAAATGAAGTCCCAGCCTAAAAGGGGAAAAGTCTACTGTCTGTAACAGAAAAAGCAACTGATTCCAAGAACTGGCTTGGGTATTTACTCTTGGTTTGCTCATAAGGGTCCAGGCCTAGGATGTTACCGATTACTGGTCCATATTATAACATTCTCCTCCTCCTCCTCCCCTTCATCATCATCATTGTCTCCTGGGAAGCATGGGCTCTGAGGAAGATGTATTCTAACAGCCTAAGACAGACTAGGAACAGGGGTCAAATGGAGAATCTCCAAGAAGTATTCTAAATCAATGTCTTCAAATATTTTGCTCTCAGGACCCCTTTGTAGTCTTAAAAGTAAATGAAGGCCCCACATAGATTTTGTTTGTTTGGATTTTATCTGTCAATATTTACCATATTAGAAATTGAAAGAGAAATTTTTGTCATATGTATTAATCCATCTAAAAATGAACATATTGTGAAAAATGATGAGGGGAGTGGCATTACTTTATATTTTTTGCAAATTTCTTTTGCAGCTGGCTTCTCTCCTCCCCATGCAACTTACTGTAATGTACTGTTAGGGTTGAAGTGAATGAGGAAAATCCATTCTCTCTGTAGTTGGGAGAGGCAGGACCTTGTATAGCTCCTGAAAGGATCTCAGGGACCCTCAGGATCCTTGGGCCATACTTGAGGACTACTATTCTAGACTGACTCACACACTGATTCTTCCACTCAGAGCAAATCAGAACATGAGGATTCTCTGGTGGCTCCCATGGGAAATCTGCAGTCCCTGCCTGGACAAGACAGAAATTTATTTAACACTTTTTTTCACCCTGAGGAAGCACGGTTCCCAGATTCTGGAAAGAGGAGAAGACCATGGGAGAGAACACAACCTGTCCTTTTAGGATGCCGTTCCCCTTGCTCTAAGATACAAAGCTTTATGCTGACTTTAAAGCTCTTCAAGGAAGAAGACCCACCAATGGCGCCGAATAATCAGTTCTATAGACATGAGAATCACCTGAATGTTCCTTTCAGCACTTGCCCAGCAGCGACTTCCTTGGAATGGTTGTTGTAACCAAAGAACATTTCCCCAAAGAGGGTCTGGTTCATGGGAAGCTCCCTGCTTTCCCCACAGTCACCGCCCTCTGGGCAGGTCTCCGCGATGAGCTGGCAAGAGCGTCCATCCACACCAAGCTTGTAATCCTCGATGCACCTACCATGGTGGAAAACTCAAGATAAAAAGCTGTTCCATCAATGAGATATGCAGTCAACTCAACCCAACAGACTGGGAAGAAACACCTCTGGGAGAGTGCTGGGTGGTAAAGATTATGAGTATCCCAGGTTCATTTTGGTCCCTTTAGAACTCAGTTTCTTAAGCCTACAAACCGAGTCTCCTTCCATTATGTGATCATACAGAAACTCTCACCTTTCCTCTGCAGACAAGTGCTTTCAGAGCTTTGGAATGCTTCCTTCTCTAAGTATATCCTCTCCCAAATAGATCAGGGGAAGAGTCACAGGCCATAAGCTTGTAAGCGGGTTACCAGATTGAAATCTGAGATATTCTAGAACCTTTCTCCAGAACCATCAGTGTGGCCAGACCCTGCATTTGTTTGGAGGGTAATTAGGCAGCAAAAGGAATGACACTGGGCTTAAGAAATTAATAACCTTCTCATCTGGTCCTGTGACAAGTCAACTAGGAAATTAGAAAGATCGATCATCTTCCGACTGTGTTCTGGGTGAATGTATTCAAACACAAGATCGTCCCATGTTAAACACCCCCTCCATTCCGAGTAGCCTTCCTGAACTAAATAGACGCTAGGGCACGCTGTGTGAACACCTCCTTGGCGTCCCTCCCCATTAAGCATGTACAGTTACTCTAACGGAAGAGCAGTACTGATGTTGGTAAATATGGCTCAGTGACCCAGCAGTCATTAATGGGACCTTATTTGTAGTTATACTGAGAAAAATGTAATTTGTTAGTTCAAGGACTACTTTGATAAACCCATCATTTAAAAAGCAGATTAATTTAATGTGGGTTTCTCCTTAAAATATACCGGATTTAGAATTTATAGATGTTCGTGACATGAAAACACATCATTTATCACTATCTATGGTAATTTTCGTAACAAGATAAAGACCTCTCTTCTATATGGAGGAACAAATAATCACAGTGTTAAGTGGTGAGAAGTGATGATGGTGCCCTTTACTGGGTGACCTTGGGTGAGTCGATTAAACTCTCTGAGCTTCAGTTTCTACAACTGTAAAAGGCGGGGGAAAGGCTGCTTTGCAGAGCTGTTGAGAAGATCAAGTGAGACAACGAACTTAAAGAACTTACAGTGTCCCCGGCAAACAGCAAATACTCATCAAATCCTGCTATCGCTATCATCAGCAGAGGGACGAATTAGGTCCGTGTTACCGCAACTCCAACGGTTCATATTCCGCATTTGCCATTTACAGATTTGTGTTAACTGGTATGAACTATAGCTCTTTAAATGCCTGTGATTTAGTCTTTACACAAAAGTGTGAAGTCTTGGAACTCTTTTGGCAGGCCATATACAGGGGCTTGGAGAGTGCTAAATTCACACACGTACCAAATTCTGACTGAAATCAGAAAGAGAGTCCAGGTAGGAACCTACTGCATTAGTCCAGGCCGCAGATGTCCCCACAAGGGATTCTACGGCTCCAGCCTAGGTCTGGGTCAAGGCAGTGAAGTGGCTCCTTCCTGGAACCATAACTCACTGTTTCTGGAAAGAACCGTGAAGCCAGCCGATCCCCTCTCAATCCCTCCTAAGTGTCCTGACAGCTCCCCCTTCCGCACTGCCCCGCTTGTCCCTCCTTCTTGGTGTTCATACATGTGTCCCACCGTAAACTCCTTTCAGGGCAGAGGCCAGTCACCTCTCCTGCGGTCTCTCCTGTATCTAACACTTAACTAGGTTCTCTGCACAGACCAGATGCCCATATGTATGTTTACTAAATAATTTATGAAAGTATCTCCATTAATTGAAGCGGGCCAGCCGTACCCCACGACGTTATAGAGACGTTGCAATTTAGAACAAGTTGCCACTTACAGAAGGGAATTTTACAAGAAACTGAAGGTAAAAACCATCAATTGAAAAGAAACAAAATACAATGAAATACAATAAAATAACATTAGCACTCCACCCAATAATCCTGTCATGATTATTCAGCAGGCACTGGCTTTTAGCGACAAGCTAGCATAGCTTTATTATTATAAACATTGATTTTCATTGCAAGACTCTTAGATTATGAGATCCTTGAGGGCAAGAACCATATGTCATTCATCTGTGCTGCCCGGGGGCTGGCATGGTGTGTGGCATAAAGCATGCACCCTCCCTGACAGCGGGGGAGACGGGTGGGGAGGGGGAGAGGAGGGAGGGAAGGGAAGGAACAGGGAGAGAGAAGAAGGGAAGGAGGAAGGAAAGCGGAGGAAAGGACAGGCAAGCAAACCATGAGTGTACAAGAATGGGCCAAATCGTTATTTACTTTATAAATATAACATGCAATGGTCTTTAAATATAATTCTAGTCAGTGGTATAAATGTAAATTTTGAGGGAACCACAGAATTAAAGAGAGAGAGAGAGAGAGAGAGAGAGAGAGAGCACCTGGATTCTAATCCTGATCTTCCCGCTTACCAACTCCCAGTCTTGAGGAGCATCTTAACCTCACGGTGCATTGGTTTTCTCCTCTGTAAAATGGGGTGGCGCTGCCTGCCCTGTTCCCTCACACATTTATCCTGGGAACAAATGAAATGAGGGCTCTTTGACTGCACCGAGGAATGACCAGGTCAGGGGGAGGGTGGCTGCATAAAATGCTGGGGCTTTGGGGGCAGAGTTTAATCATGTTTCCACTCCTCCAAAGACTTCTCCCTCCCCTTCTCTGAGAATTAATTCGTTTTACACAATCTTTCCCAAGCTTTTGGGCCATAAAACCCTTGTGTCACAAAACACAGTTAACACAGTTGCGCAGAACAGTTTGGAAAATTCTGGGGTATGCTGGCAATGACTGCGGTCAGCTTCCTCTCCCATGGGGATGGGACTAGACTTTCCCTGAGGGTCCTCTCAACTCTTGACTTTTAAAGTGTTGCTCTTCCGGTCCTGCAGGCTCTTTCTTCAGAGCCTAAGGGCTGGCCTAGGGTGACCGGTTCATTTAGATTTACTTTCCTGGCTTTAACACCGACCATCCCGCATCCCAGCCTCACGGGCGGCTCGACTCACCCACAGAACATGAGGATGTTGTACAAGGTGGGGTCATCCGGGAAGGGCGCCATCTGCTGGAGACACAGCTGCTCACAGCCGCCATTGAAGCCATCTGAGCAGTCCACCCCAATGTGGCGGTCGTAGCAGCCAGAGCTGTCCTTCATGGGGCTCAGTCCGGACGGGCACTGGAACAGTCAAAAAAACATCCATGCAGGGAGGTGAATCAGGGGACTGAGTTCTCGGGGAACCAGAGTGTAACCACTCATGCCTATTCTTAGCACTCAGCCTTGAAACCATTAACATTGGCAAGTAATGCACGAATTTCCCACCGTGCTGGACTCCCATTAAAAGCAAGCGACCTTTTTGACATCTTGCTTCTTTTCTCTGGGCACAGATCACACACATTTGCATTAAAGCCAGTTCCTCTACACGGGCTAGAAGGGGACGTCACAGCAAGACAAGAGTGAGGTGTGCTGGCCTCCCAACTGGGTGGCAGCAGTGGGGCAGAACTGAACAGCAACAGCAGAGACTTCTTTGGACTAGTTGGACTAAGGAGAGGGAGTGCTACTGTCTGCACTTAGTATTAATAGGACTTTTTTTTTTTAACATGCAAACATGTTGCCAACCAGATAGCCGACGGTGTTGGAGAGAACGGGCAGAGCCAGGACTTCCAGCTGGAAGGAGGAAGTGGACTTTCTCCGTGACCCTGGAGGGAGATTTGACTGCTCTCCTGGAGGGAGTGGCCGGACCCACAACCCTCCCGCCTCAAGGACGCCTGTGGAGGACGCGACACAAGGGCATCTGCTACATGAACACCCACAGGTGCTGCGCTTGGGTCTGGGCTTTGTCCCAGTGTCCTGGATGCTCTTATTGTGCAACGATTAGCTTCTCTGCACGGCTACGTCCTCAGTAAATTCCCCAGGAGTGCCAGCAAAGATAATCCAGGCGGAGATGTCAGCCAGAATCTGGGCAAGACAAAGGGGCTTGGTGAGCAGGGGGAGCCCTCTCACACACCAGGCCGGGTCTAACTCATCGGTCTTACTCATTCAGCTCTCGACACATCCCCTTGAAGTACGGAGCATGATCGGTCCCATGGGACAGGCGAAGAAGCCGCAGCACAGAAAACTTAACTTTCCTAAAGTCCCACTGCCGATCAGGCAGGACCATACCTAAAACCTGGCAGGCTGAGTATGGGGGTCCGCGACTCGGCCGCCGCATCATTAGCTTCCACAGCGATCTGTCTCTTGCACCATAGTCACTGTTTACTGAGCACTTACTAGGAGCTGGGCATTACGGTGGTGCTCTGGGTATTTCGTCTCACAGCACCCTATAGGAGGGTCCTCATTTAATCCATACGGAAACCATTAATATTGCCAATTAACGGCACTGGAGCCCGCCAAAAAAAGTCAATGAATGTGTTTCGCCTTCCTGCTTCTTCTATCTGTTCAATAGATTCGGCACATTTGCACTACGGCCGGAAGAGGGGTTAGTAACTTGCTCAGGGCCAAGCCGCTAGTGTGGGGCCGAGCTGGGGGTCTGTCTAGAGATGATCTGCTTTTAATGACCGTGCTACACACACTATCAACTAACGAACGCGCTCCTCCAAGACCAAACCGGAAAACGTTCAAAACCTGGTGGAACAGCGTCAACCCTCCCACCCTCCTCCTGCCCTGCTGCCTGGCTGCTTCTTTCTCTCGACTGCCAAGCACTCTGGCCTAGGAGCCCGGGGCTGCCGCAGGTGGGCCTGGGAAAACCCGCCTCCCCTCCCCGCAAGATCACAGCAGGATGCGCACTGTTTGCTGACACTAATTCTGCAATTTCCCAAACAAATGGCCCCTCGGTGGGCCCACCGGGCTACCAGGCTGGCCCATCCCCTTCCTCCCCATGAAGCCAGCTGGAGTGCTGGAAGGTGAGGGCATTCAAAGCCACTTCCAAGGGCTGCCCCACGCGGTGCAGACCCAGATGTTCCAGATGATGGTAAACAAGCAAATGAGGCAGCTGAGGATGGCACCCCATGTTTTGTTAGCACCCCACCCATCCACCTCCTTGGCCATCCGGCTGTTAGGGCAGATGTGCCACCAGAAGGGAGCTGGCTTCACCACTGTGAGGCTGCCCCGCATGGATGTGGAAGTTCGATTGGAATTAAATGGGCTGCCCTGGTTGCTAGGAGTCCTTTTTCTTTTTTCCCTTCTGTGAAGCTTAAGAAAAGCCCTCAAAGTAGAGACAAAGCCAGTCCTCCTGTCGTTCCCACGTGTGGTTTCAACGCTTGCATCGGCGAGCTCACCAGCCAGGACTCCCACCTTCCCAGCCACCCGCTTTTTTTTCCACCTGCTTGTTTCCATTAAGCGTGATTTCTGACGAAGACTTCACCAAAGGAAACCCAAGCAGGCTTTGTTCCAGAATTCCAAAGCCTGGCATATCCACAACTTGCCTGGCCCTGATGTCTGGATGCCCACTGCTGTGCCAAGTTGGACCACCTGATATTTACAGTCTCTCGGGAGATCTGGAGAGAAGATGGTTAGCTGCCTTGTCCCAGTTGCATTGTTTCTGTTGTTCTTATAAGCAAAGCGAGAATAACAATAACAGCCATCGGGAGTTAAGCAATTCTGTGTGCAGGACAATCAATATATATTATCTTCAATCGCAACAACACAGACTTTTTCTCACCTCGCTTTACAGATGAGCAAACTTAAGACTCAGAAAGATTAAGTAGTACCTTGTTTCAGGTCACAGAGGTGGAAAATGGCAGAATCAGATTTTGGAACTAGATCTATTTGACCTCAAAGCTCAAGTCTGTCTCTTCTACTCTGCTGTGCTGCTCCTCAGGTGTGAGAAAACGTGGACTCATTGGAATCCCTAATGAAATAAAGTCAATTCAATACATCAACAGGTAAAGCAATCTGGTAGACTTGTTGTTTGTTTGATTGTTTTGAGCAACTCCCAGAGTACATTCTGGGATCAATTATGGATTTGTAGGTTTAGCTTAATATTCTTTTTATTTCTATTTCTCTCTGTGTCTCTCACTCACCCTTCTCCTTCACACACACACACACACACACACACACACACACACACACACACATTATGGGTACAAATATTTATAAGGCAAAAACACTCAAAACGTCCAGAGGGATGACCCTGAAGGCAAGACAAGCTCCTCAATCACTGAAAAAGATGCAATTATCTTCACTGCACTGTAACTCACTTGGTCTGCAGTTCAGGGAAAAATATTCTTGAAAGATTTCCAGGAAAAAAAAGGCCGAAACTGAAAATACAGTTTTCTTCTCAACCCTGGTGGAACCAGAACACCCATTCTCCAACAGGCCCTATCAATCAAGTTTCCCACGGTTGACGTTTGTTTTTGTTTTTGCCCACATGTTCCTTGTACTGTTGTGGTCACATTCTGGACTCCTCAAAATCTGAATCTCAATACAAAAAAAACTACTGGCTCCAAACCATGCCTTCTTCTTAGAAGTATTTGCAGCCACAGCCCAGTTGTCAGGAGAGAAATCTTGCCTCCAGGAGGAGTTGGTATTTTCTCTTGGCAAGTGTTGGCCATTCTCACCTCCTGGTTTGTGCACAAACTCTCCACTTACTCCTTAAAAGAGCACTGTTTGCTCAGGATGGAGCCCCAAAGTCATGTATTAACTCCTCTCATATTAGGTTACATTTAGCAGTCCCAGAGCCTTTAGAAACAAGGGGCTTAAAAAGAAAACTCTGTTTATTATGGCAACAACCCTTCCCCATCAAGAAGGTCTAATAAATGAGCTCATATTTTAGCGACTCCTAAACTACACAAGGTTAATCATCTTTCATGAGATGCTCATGGCTTCTTGACTTATTACTGGTCTAAGGCATCATTTGCTAATGAGATTAAAATGATTCCCCCCCCCCCAATTCAACTTCTTTTCTTCACTGTCTCTTCCCTCTTTTTCTCCCAATGATTTTTGGTTGATTAATTACTTATGAGTCTAGTCAAATCTCACTAGGCCCGAGACATACACCCTTCTGTTCCAGATTACGAGGCAGATGCTGTTAGCCGATGAATAGGAGTGATGGACACGTGAGTATGTTCGGGGCCCCTGGGAGAAGAGGAACACATTCCCGCAGGTGAACCTGCCTTGCCTTACCTGGATGATTCATAAGATATCCAACCATAATGTCTACTCCAAACAAGCTCCCCTTGACTACATGGCGATCTTCCTTTTACAAATAATGATTTCCCTGACTTTTCGATGGGCTCTGACATGCCAACCCAAGCCATGCAGGACTTCTCCCAAGGGGAAAGTTTGGTGGAATTAAATTTATGTTTCAGCTTCCTGCCCCCATTTCTCTGAAAGCCTCTGAGGCATAGACTTCTGCTTACTGTCCTACAGAGAGAAAGAGATATGGTCATCTGTAATGGTCTCTGCACATCTGTGCTCCAGCAGAGGTGAAATGACACATTTGGTGGGAAACCACTGTGGGCAGCATGTGGACAGAAGGGCGGCAGGGTCACTGGGTAATTCAAAGCTCATTAGAGCATAATGCTCTGGCAGGCAAGGTCATGTGTTCATTACACGGGAATGCGGGACAGCTGACCCCTTGCCTTCCAAGGCCACGGTCTGCTCACCTAAGTGCACACGGATAGTGCACAAAGCAGAGGCATTTTTTGGCCACTTTCAGGAAGAGTGTGGAGATGAGGAAGGGGCAGTAGAGTTATTTTAGAGCACTGGAAATAATTTTCAAACCTTCTAAGTGTTTTAACTTAAAACTCAACAGGTAGGCTGGATGAGAAGAAGGATGGCCTGGCTCAAGCTGGGAATGGGGACCAGCATCCTGCCCACCAAGTCTGCCCCAATCCCACTGCCATCTCCCACCTGTGGCCCCCAAGGGTGTCAGCAATATAACCTCCGGAGCCTGTGAACGCGTCCCTTTACATGACAGAAGGTGCTTTGCAGGTCAAGTTGAGAGGGGGAGATTATCCTGGATTATCCAGGTAGACCCAACGTCATCACAGGAGCCCTTAAAAGCGGATGAGAGAAGCCGAAGATCAGAGAGCAGGTGCTACAGAAGAATGGCCAGAAAAAATGCAACGTAGCTGGCTTTAAAGATACAAGAAGGGGACCAGGAACCAAAACCCAAGGGCAGACGCTAAAAGCTAGAAAAGCCAAGGCAATGGATTCTCCCCTGGAGCCTCCAGAAAAGAATGCAACCCTGCAGATACCTGATTTTAGCCCCATGAGACTCCTGTTGCATTCTCACCTAGAGAGCTGTAAGATAATAGATGAGTACTGTTTTAAGCCACTAAACCCGTGGTCCTTTGTTACAGCAACAATAGGACACTAATACAGTCACTTCGCAGGACCTTAGGGAACTTCACAGGACACAGAGTCCCCGCTCTGGTGCTTTCCAGGGAGGCATTACAGCTCCCACCTCGGCACAGTAAGGACAACGGGTAGAAGTAAGACCCAAGTTATCAGCAGCGGGTGGCTGACCTCTGCTCTGGGAACCTTCCCAAAGGTTCAACAATCCCCGCTTTGGGAGAGTGTTCTGGTTGGGAACTGAGAGACCGTGGCTTCCACAGGTCTGTGCCTTTCACGGGCATTTGTTTCCTGTCCTCAGAGACAACATAAACAATAGGGCAATTAACTGGGTAGCAATTAACCCTGTGGGAGTCCATGCGTAACCGAGAAACGTGTCCTGCCTTCCTAGAAAGAATGAAGATTGAGCAGCCCATGTGCACCAGCCCCACCTGTCTGGCTTGCAGCCAATCGGGAAAATGCACAGGTGCCTCCTCTTGTCCCACATCCCTGTCCCTTTCCCAGGTTCCTTCAGGGCCAGTGTGTTCGGAGTTCCTCACCTCTTTCTCCTTCCACAGAAACATACCTCTCCTGAGAAGGCTTTCGGTTGGGCACCCAGAGTACTGAATGTCAGGGTTGACGTGGAGAGGAGAACGGCAGCCCAGTTCACCCAAACGGTGCTCCAGTGCCGCCCAAAGGCCCCTGGCCCTGGCCCACACCTCCAGACGACTCTGGAAGGCTCTGCTATCAACATCAGAGCTCTCGCACAGTGCTGACGTCTGGCTCAGCTCACCGTAAGTCTCAGCCGGATCACAAGGGTCGAGACGCGGTACGTCGGCCCTCACCCTCCAGTCCTCCTGTCTCAGGGATCACGCGCGTGATGGCCAAGGAAAAACAGTCCGTTGGGTGGCCTGCCAGTCACCCGGCCCCTCCTCCCCCCAACAGCCACGTGGACCAGTGACTTCAAAGTATTATGCTAATCCCAAGCACTGGTATAATTGCGTGACTTTCTGCCGCGGCTCCAACTCTAAAACGCAGCGCGGCCTTATTGCAAATGCATATTCATCAGAACTATTCCTGCTAGCTTCGTCTCACAGATTACAGTGTTAAAAGTACAAAAATACACCAGCAAGGCTACGTGCCAAGTAAAAGGGGCTAGGATCACCAACAGAAGGCACTTGACAGGCAACCGTTCGGGGCTCAGGAAAGGGGCAGAGAGGTGGAGAGCATATCATGTATAAGTGTACGAAGGTGTGAGCGCGCTCCGATTCAGCTGGGACCGCCCGGGGTCGGGGGGAAGGTATTCGTGCACGTGCACACAGTGTTTGAGGACTCAGAGGGACCCGAGAGAGTGGCAAGGAACGAAAGGTTGAAATCTGAATGAAGAAATGCAGGTTGAACGGTAGGGGAAAAGGTGGCTCGGCTGGGAGCTCCATCAGACAGTGAAATTGTCTCCCAAGGGACCCAGTTGGGAAGCTCATTGCTTAAGACGTCTGAAAGCGGACCAGCCAAAGGGAGGGGAGCCCTGTGGGACACCAACTTACACCCCCCCCCCCCCCCCCCCCCCCCCCGCCCCGCGTCTGCCTCTGGAAGACAGAACCCGCAGAGCGCTTCTCTTGGTCCTTGCCCGGTGGTCCTCTGTTTTGCTTTGCCTTCCTCTGATGGACCGGCCAGGTCTCCGCCTATCTGCCCCTCAGCTCTCTCCCTTTTCTTTTCTTCCCTTTCTTTCCCTCCTCAGATGAATTGGGCTCCTGTCAGCTGCTGCCTGATCTGTGAAAGTCCTGGGAGGCCTTAGGGCTGAGAGAGTCCCACCCTGGATCCCAGGCACATATCCGTCTTTGATGGAGCACAGCTCCCGGAACCAAGCAGGTGCTCAGAGACAGGGAAGGGGTGTGTGAAAGAGGGATTCGGCCCAGCCTCCTCACAGCTTGCCCCTGCTCTGGGTCCCTTTCCTGAAACACAGCTGTCAGATTGGGAAGCAAGACGAGGCACCATATTCTCCCTCAGCTGAAGGCTCCTGGCCCTGCCCCAGAAACACAGCAGAACTATGTGTCTCAACAAACCATCTCTCCCTCTCCTTTATGCCCACTTTACATCTGGCTTTCCTGTCTGTCTTCCTTCTTTGTCCTCTCCTCTCTGTGAGGATTGCATCATTCTGCCCTTAAAAGAAAGGAGGGCTGGTAACAGAAAACAGTGCTGCTGGGCATGAAAATGCCAATATGAAGGCTCGGGCAGCTGATGGCTTCATCCGCTCCTGCCTCCATTTACCTGCATGGTTCAGTCACTCTTTATCCACAGTGCAGGAGCTATCTTAGTCCACTCTCGACCAAATGGCCTATTTAGGTCCTGGCATCGCATATTTACGTGTAGCCAAAGTCTCCATAGCCGATAACAAAGCAGAAAACCACCTTCGGTGAAGTAGAGTTCACTGCTATGGTGGCAAAGGGGACATATTTTTACTTTTCCCTACCGTACCTGGCGTAACTTACTTCTTTCATCATTCTGGTCTTAGGTAGGTTTCTCCTAAAATCTCCTACTACAGCCAATGTGATCTGACCCTAGACAAAGTAGAATTTCCTATTATGGTCAATACAGTCTATTTGCTATTAGAGTCAATGTCATAGTGTTAAGCAGCTAATTAATTCTCAAATTGTTTGGGGGCAGCCCTCACCAGTTAGATTGTAAGACTAGAAACAAAGAATCCTGCTATGTGATCCATGAAATTTCACTAGGATAGTTATAGTGCACACAGTAGGCGCTCTATAAATTCTTCTTGATTGACTAGTGATTAGCTTCTCATCTCTGTCAAGAAAAAATTCGTAATTTAGACTAGACAGTGGTTGACAACTAGGGAGGGATCATTTTGACCTTCTCTCTTTTTTAAAAGTACTTTTTAAAGTTTATGTGTTTTGAGATAGAGAGACAGAGAGCGAGTGAGCAGGGGAGGGGCAGAGGGAGATGGAGAGAGAGTCCCCAACAGGCTCCGCGCTGTCAGCCTGGAACCCGACGGGCGTCTTGAACTCACGAACTGTGAGATCATGCCCCGAGCTGAAATGAAGAGTCAAATGCTTAAACGACTGAGTCGCCCGGGTCCCCCAACCTTCTCTTTCTAGTTTTTTAAAGATTTTATTTTTAAGTAATCTCTACACCCAACGTGGAACTCAAACTCAAGAGCCCGAGATTAAGAGTCACACGTTCCGCCTACTGGGCCAGCCAGGCGCCTGGTCTTTCATTCACAGTGTATTTGCGTCCGTATATCTGCATTATGTGTTATCCTGGGCGCCCCCCAACCCGCTGGAATCACAAGCCTGATGGGGCAGACGTACCACACAACCAGTGGAGTCCAGCTTGCGGTCTGAGATGCAGCGGAAGTTCTTGCTGCAGCCCCCGTTATCCTTGCTGCAGTCGCGCACTGGCCCAAAGGAATCTAAGAGAACCTCCAGGCTGTCAAAGGAGGACGAGGTCATCAGCTCCTCTCTGTGGGGAGACACGGGGGGAGGGCGAGGAGTCAAGGCAACTCCGGGTACAACAAGTAGCATCACCTTCCAAGTTCCTCTCTAGTCACCCGCAGCACGTCTCACTCTCACGAAAATTAAAGATCAGCCACATTCTGAGCCTTGAACTAACAAATTATGGACATTCTCCATATCTGGGAAATGAGCCAAGGCTGTAATGCCTGGTCAAAGAAGGAGGTCTAAACTTGGGCAAGGAAATTAACATTTTATTGCCTGTCAGTCCTTAGGGGATGTGGGAAGTGCTTACAAACTCTAATTTTATGTCCTCTCCCAGAGCATGAGCCTTGGGGTGTGCAATATTGACCCAGATAGAGTAGATCCTGGCACCGTGGGTACAGGGAATCTGAAGGCAGCCTGCCAACTTCTCCTTTCGGCTCGTCGTGACTCCTTTCCTAGCTCCTGGCACGGGCAGGTAGCTCCTCACTCAGCGCCCCAAGCCAAATGTGGCCCCAGCACCCTGGGCCCGGACTCACCTGACCTCCACAGCGTCCTCCATCACTGTCATGTCCGTCTTACACTTTGCCGAAGGGTTGATGGCCAGTTCAGCCGGTGGGATCACAAAACTCTTGCTGAGGGGCAACCACATGCCCTCCCCAAGGGTGTAGGTGAATCTGCAGGGACACCAACACCAGGGGGTTACAGCTGGGGAGTAACCACCCCGCCAGGGGACCTGGCCTTTTGCTGTCAGGGGCTTCCTTCTCGGCCCTCGCCGCCTCTTCAGGAAAGGGAGCTGGCCGCCATGCCATGGATAAGATGACGGGAGTCCCAGAGAGGCAGAGAGGCCTACGCCTGTGCACATGTCCAGCCAGTTGGGGGAACGGATTATGGCGCCCACTCACCAGCTGTTTGAAGTGGTTTTTATCAAGCCCTAAGAAATCGAATTCCAGTTTCCTTCAGATGTAAAGCTGGGCTTCCTCAACCCTATGTCAGATATAATTGGAAGCATTTTAATTGAAGAGACAGGCTGGCCTCCCACCGTCCCCAGCCCTCAGATGGCACACCCACAGTGGTAGCGACGGCTTCTCTTCTTGTGCCTCAAGGAAGCCTCCAAGGGAAAGGAGGACGGAAGCTCCCCCTTTTCAGGTTGTGTGGTGCACACAGAAATGAGGGAAGGCAGCAGCCCAAGGGAGAAGAGAAGAAGGAGAACGGGGCAAGCCTGGATGTGTTCACCACACTCCTACCCACATCCTCAGCTAATGGCAGTAACCCTCCGGAGACAGAGGAGTTTTTTGTTTTTTGGTTTTTTTTTTTTTTTTAATTCTTATAACAAGGGCTGAAAGGAATAGAAGAATCAATCAGCATTTCAAGGGAGAGCTTAAGAAAACCGTGAAAGATTATTTGTTTATTTATTCATTCATTTTATTTCAAAGGCATTCAAATACCCTGTGTTCACAGTCAAAAATAGTCTATGGGATAAAAGCCAGTGTGGGTGGGATATCACAAGGCTGTGGCAGTCTGGCGGCCCCTTCCAACTTAATGTGGAGGGAGGAGCAATTGAAGAATGCATACAATTAAACAGAACCCAGCCCTGGCTTGATCAGCACGCTGGTCACAGAGCACCGCTTCAGAATCCTGCTCATCCGTCTCCCTTAACCCACATGCTCCCTTCTCCACTCCCTGGGGTTGCTTGAGATGATGCTAGGAAACCAGACGGATGGCTTGTGATCTTTTATGAGAAATGCAGTCCTCTGGAACGCTGGCCGCGGAGAATGCCCACTGACCCAGGCTCGCGTGATTTTCACCCACTCCCTAACGGACAGGCAGCCCGGGGTGCTAGAGCAGCTGACAGAAGAGAAGGCGGGTGCCCAGGGGAAAGGCAACACCCTGAGCAAGTGGGATGGGGCTGGGTCTGTGCAGGGATGCAGGGAGGGGTCTGCACCAGGTGAGGGAGGCCAGTTAGTAGGGGACAGAAGAAGACACTTGCCACTTCATTCTTCTGTGAAGCAGCTGGCAAAATGGAAGGCACGCCAGCCCCTTCTCTCTCTCTCTCTCTCTCTCTCTCTCTCTCTCTCATCTGGCAAGATTAAGGAGCCGATTAGGGCAAATGATTGCCCCTAAGTGCCCGGAATTTGAGATTCAGAGACGGAGTGGGTTTGAAGGCAACAATATGCAAGGTGTTGCACGGACATGGCATTTCAGAATGGACATTCTTGAGGGTAATATTACAACAGGCAGGCGGGGGTGAGGACACCACTAATATTATAAGTAAGCTATTGTTTCAGTGAGAACATACACAAGTGTGAATGGTACCAGGGAGGAAGCAGTTTATTTGTTGATTTGGACACAGAGGTGAATTTTTGTTTTCTATTTTGGTTATAAAATTACAAGTTTGCACTGATGCAGAGCAACAAATCTGGGACCTGTAGCTTATAATTTATGAAACAGATTTTCGGAAACAGTTGGCAGTTCTAGCATATTTCTGACGGTTAATTTTTCTTTTGGAAGACAGAGTTCCACGTCCCTCTGTCTCAGTGTTCCCCTCCTCCTCTGCATTCAGCAACAATTCAGAGGGAAAAGCAAGCCACCTCTTTCCCCAACTGAAACTGTTAAACAGCACCCTGGACCCACAGAGCAAAGTTTACGTCTCCAACAGTGTCATTCTCACCCCCTTCTTCAGCTGCTTCTTTCCCCAACCCCCGCCTCACATTTTGTGCTTCTACCCTGCAATTGGATTGTCGTCTCTAAAGTCGCCTTAATTTCCTCACCTCTTCGCTTTGCTCTTAAGAATCCTTTCTGAATTTGCTTCCCTTTCTTTGCTGGATTCCAGCCATGTTAAGACTAAGTTAAAATCCCCACCCCTTCCAGAAGGCCCTCCAGGATCTTCACGCTCAACCTCAGGCTGAAACAAAGGACACTCCTCTGTGCACACACACACGGTCCCTGGCTGCCCCCAGAGATGGTGACTCATGGCCACCTTCTCATGTCTATCACCACGCAGAAGAACGTGCTCTCTTGCGTGGCAGGGGAGGTTTCTTTGCCGTCTTTGTATCCGCACTGTCCACCACCAAGTTTTGGCCCAAGGAGGTCACTCCATAAATATTTACTGACTGTTCAATAATGAGATTCAGTTATGTTCCCTAGTTTGCATAGGCTCCGGGATGGATATAATCTCCATTGTCAAACTTAAGGGAGAAGTGATGGCGAAGATCATCCTTTACTTAGAGCAGGATGCGGGTCAACCTCTGGGTCTGAATGGATTTAGTGGTCAAGATGGGTCTGGGTTTCATATTGTGAGGAACCTCCAAAGGGCACAGTAGTTTCTGAGACATAACACTGTACCACATTAACAAGAAAAACAGTGTAATCTTCGATGTCTGGTAGGGCTGAGGTGAAACCCTGTAAGAGGAAGCAAAGTCAGATGTGTCTGAGACTAACCTCAGTTGAGAACTCTCAACATAGCAGGTGCTCTGTATGCTGTTCCATTTACCCTCAACACAGTCTTCTCAGATTGGCCATTTGGCTACACTTTACTATTTTGTCAACTAACATTTTAAGGAGTTTAGCAACCTCCCCAAGGTCACCTCTCCATAAGTGGGAAAGACAGGGGTTGGTCTGATACTCAAGTATGGCTCACAGCAGCTTTCCAGCCCATACTGGCTCATGCCTATGAAATTCTAAAGTTTTCTTTTCTCTGCAAAATTTACTGAGTAACTCCAAAAACCAAATATAGAACAAACTGTCAGAGAAAAAGCTGTGTCCTGAAATCTCATCTGTCCCTCATTCATGTAGATTTGGCAGGAATGACTTCAGAAAGCCACCAAAGAGAAATTGGGAGAGCATCTGGAATGCTTTCCCAAGTTGGGCCTTCTCTTGCGACAGCTGGTGGTGACCACCACAGTTGATGGCTCAGCTGTAGGCTGAGTCCTGCACACGACACTGTTGAACTAGCACTTGAAACTTCTGTTCAGAAGCGAACCCTTGCCAGAGAGCACTGGGCATAATAAGCCTGTACTCTCACTGTGGCTTGGCATGAAACAGAATGTGGGGAAACTGACGGTTAGCTCTTGGCATCTTCACTCTTCCCGAGGTCCGGCCATTCCAGGATGAGATGTTGTTCCCAGTGACACAGGTACACATTTGGAAGGAGGGTGTCTGAGAGAGAAATCTGGTCTGCGCCAATCCCTGCCACCAGAGGGTCTAGTGAAATGGCATGATCCTCACCATAATGGAAAGAATGTCTCTGGGACCACACTGGGTTTGCAAAGGAGACTTGGTTCAGCTTCCTTGGACCCTTTGAGTCTAGCTTGGGCCCTTCCCAGATTCTTTGGGATTGCAGATTACCAAGGTTAGGTTGGGTAACAAGGTCTTTATTAATCTGGTTTCAAGCCCTTCAGAAAAACCTGAAATGATCAGCTACAGACATTTATTGGAGATTTACTGTGTTCAAAATCATATAATTAGATAGTAAATATTTAAAGCCATGTAGGGTATTACCCCTTCCCTCAAGAAGATAATCATTTCGTTGGAATAAACAGGCAACTAAAAAGAAACATGAGATGAAATAATTGACAAATAAATATTACAGTCAGTATGTTATAGATGTTTGGAGGGGGGAAAGTCTTTGTGGATTTGGAGAAGCTTGAGAGCAATGTTTCTCAATCCTGGGTAGAGATCAGAAGAACCATGGTGATTTTAAAAAATTTGTGGCCTGATCCCATGCCCCTGAACTTTACAATTAATGGGTTTGTGCCAGGGAAGATCACTGGCCATTTTTGAAGCATGCTGGGATTCTCCTGGAAGATCGGGGTTGGAGAACAATTCTTGGATGACATTGTAAATTTCTTGAAGCCATGGGCTATGTCAATCATATTTGTTTGGTCATATCTACAGCATCTAAACCGGTGCCTTGCAGTGGTAGGTGCTCAGTAGATATTGGGCTTAACTAAGATTTGACCCAGACCATGAAAACGGATAATGTTTATATTAGAAGAAGAATATATATTCTTGCTAGAGGAAAGAGGATGAGCAGAAGTGTAGAACGGGAAGTGTTCAAGTTGCCGGGGACGGTGGATCAGGTAGGGAATAGATTTGACTAAGAACAGAAGGTTCCGGGGAGCCTGGGGGGCTCAGTTGCTTAAGTGTCTGACTCTTGGTTTCGGCTCTGGTCATGATCTCACGGTTCGTGAGCTCGAGCCCCACAATGAGCTCTGCTCTGACAGTGCAGAGCCTGCTTGGAATTCTCTCTCTCTCTCCTTCTCTCTGTGCCCCTCCTGCCCTCTCTCTACTAAAAAAAAGAAAAAAGAATGGAAGTTTTCATAGGAGAAGGGCAACTTATAAAACAGCCTTGTACATTGGCAGTCAAATGTGGAACGATTCAAATGTCAGAAATGTGCAGTGGCTTGGAATTCATCGGGATACTAAATCACGGGTGAACAAATGGCAAGTAAACAGTCCTTAGCTTCTTGAAGAGATTACAGTCACTGACCAGGTCATAGAATTTTCCACAGTAGCCACTGGCGGGTGGTTTACTCCGACCCCAGGGTGGTTTTGATGAAAGTTCTTAATACCTAAAATAGGTAAATCATGACCCATTGCTTTTACCAGACAGGCAAGTTATTGTCATGTTAGGGGCCAACATGATCGATTACCCCACTGGCTCCTGAGATAACTGCAAGGGTCAAACCATTCAGCTGACCCCTCTGCAGTGCGTGGGTATCACATGCAGTTGGCAGCTAACATATCTGAAAAGAACAAATGGTACTTGTGGGGATGGAAGCACAGTTTTTGTACAGGTTCTGCTCTAATAGCAATTTCATTAAGGCCCCGGTTTTTCAAAGTGTTGGTTTCTGACTTTTAGGGGAGAGGAAACTTATGCACATCAATCCGCTGAACTCCACCAGGCTCTCCATCTGCCTTAGCTTTATCACCCTTGGAAGGTCTTAGCAGACCAGTGGTAGAAAAAGAGAGAGAAAAAAAAGTCAGCCAAACGATAAATCCTTGTTGGAAAGTTTAAATGCCCAAGTCATAGTCTAAGGAATATAGCTGACATCTTGTGCAGCACGAATCCTCAAAAGCAGCCTGCGGCCAATGCCATTAATGTGACCCAGCCTCCCCTGAGAGAGACATTCAGGAGGGAAAAAGGCAAGGGGAGGCCCTGTGAAGAAGCAGCTCTATAAATATGCGCTCTTGCTAAGAGCATGCCTTAAGAGAACACTGCAGGGGCCAAACCCAGGCCATCTGGGGCCAACACAGAGGAGGAACCAGAGAAGCTGGGGTAGAGGAGTCGGCTCTAGGGGGCAAATGCAGGAGCAAAATTAACACCTAGGCCAGGCCAGGCCAGGCTGACAGGAAAGGTCCGGGGAAGGGACCGGAAAGGAAGCGGAGAATATGGAGACTCAGCACTCTGTACGAGTGCAGGAAAAAGGAAACAAGCTTTCCATTTGCCCCACACGGCCGCCTTTTCTCCGGTAGAGCCCTGCACTAGCTTAATGCATCCTTGGCAGGGCTATTTACTTCCTCCATCAGAGGGCATGCACGTAGAGGGACATGTGTTCACATCCATACTGCCAGGCCACAAGCAATCTCAGGTACTCTGCCGGTAGTCAGCAAATACTCATTAAATGAAGGACACGCTGACAAAATAAACGCATGCTAAGATCTTAGTTTGGAAATAAAGTTGTGTTCCGGCTAACGCCTGGCGTGAATTAAACTTCATGAACATCCAATAGTTCGCGGCGGCACCCAAATTCTCCCTCTGCTGGTTGACTTTTCTAGCATGTGCTATTCCCAGGTATGTAGGTAGAAATTTGGGAGGGACTAGAAATATCCAATTTGATTAGGAGGGTGGTAGATAAAAGAAAAATAATAATGAAGTAGAGCTGAGAAAAGGAGGAGGCAGGGGCGGGACAGATTCTGAATAAGACTTGACGAAAAAGGTGCAAATTAGATGCAAAAGGGAGAGGCAGAAACTGACATTAATTGCCTGCTCTGTGCCAGTTTCTGTGCCAAGGGCTTTCCCTGCATTATCTCATACATGCCTCACCACAATACAACCAGGCAAATAACGCGGCCCCATTTAACAAACGCAGAAGCTGGAGGCTCCAAGAGGTTAAGTAAATTACTGGGGCTCCCGGAGCAGGCAAGCAAAGGAAGCCAGGACCCAAACAAGGGCTGTCTGCCCTCAAGAGTTCTCCACGCTGTCACTGGGCGTGAGTGCGGGGCCAGCACTTTTGTAATGAGGAGGGCAGAACAGCTAGATGTGCTTCCCATTTTCTACTTTATCTCTAGGGAAGAAAGTTAAGTGCCAAGTGAGACATGGGGCTTGTAGACATACGTGAGCAAGTCCCTAGACAGCCACTTACCTGAATATTTTATCAGAAGGCTGTTCTCCCAAAACCAGGTCAAAGCCCCGCTGAAATATTGTGTAAGGCCAAGGCCTAAAAGGAGAAACATCATTCAATTAAAGTCAACTCCACAAACACTCTCTGAACATCTACTTCGTGCCAGGCACCATGCCGGGTACTGGAGACCCAAAGACACGGAGGCCTCATCCCTGCCCTCAAGGATCCCACTGACGGGAGCTCACGTAAGACCCTGAATGCTGGAGCCAGACCAAGAACAGGATCAACATAAAAATCACCGAACCACTAGGACAGCGGAATGTAACAGACATGACAACCACAGCTACAGAGACAGTAAAATTATATCAAGGTGGACCTCACGTAGCTGTAACTCACGGTCCTTCTGATGTAGATTTAACTGACACTTAGCTTTGCCTCACTTAAAAAAAGAGGGTCAGCATGACTTCTTGGGAAAGACGAAGCCTCTGGAGTCAGACGGTTCTGAGTTCAAACTCTGTTCTGCTGTTGGCTTACTGTGGGCAAGTTAGTTGCCTTGTTGAGTCTAATTTCCTCTTTGGTAAAAAAAGAGTCTGTAATAGGTGCCTCCAGACCACTGTGAAGATTAAGCAAACCTCGTAGGCCAAAGGCACAGCTCATACAGGGTCCTCGACATGTTCCCCTTCCCTCCTCAAAACGACAAGAAGGTTGACAGGTTCCAGATGTTTTCAAACATTTTAATGCCATTCCTCCAAGCAGAAACAGTTGAAATGGTATTTTTTAAATGATTCTTAACTACAAGTCTCCCTTATGAGCTTCTAGGTTCTGTCACTTATAATTGAAAGTAACAAAACTATTTTATTTAAATAGTATATATATCTTTTGACTAACCCAAATGTCTAATCAAAAAGTATTTACTCATTTGAGGCAGACTTAGGAAAGCCCGCGATTGTGCTGGGTACTAAATATTGTACACTCTGGATGAACTGAGCCCTTGTTCCCACGGAACCCAATGATTGAGGATTTTACTGGAGACTAGAAAAAGTCAGCAGAATAAATTGACATAATTATGATTTGGGGCTAAATCTAATGCTAGGAACCAACCCAGTGGTTGTCAGTGTGGGTGCCATCACCCAAGAGAGTGCATTTGGGGACATTTATGGTTGCTCTCCCACATAACGATTGGACACAACGATTGGAGGACACTGCTGGCATTTAGAGGGCAGGGCTAGAAAGGCTAGAATCGGACAGCGCTCAAGATAGCTCTGTGCAACAAAGCATTTCCGTATGTCCTACAAACTACAGAATGCCTCACTACACATTTACATAGGTTAAAACTTGCCTATCGTGACCTGAGCCAAGATGCTAACTCCATTTACACATAAGCACAGAGCAGCTTGTACTGCTTTAACCTATGACAAATTTTCTGGGTGCATAACTATGATGTAAATCGAGGGAAGATTATACACTGTTACTTAGAAATTTTACCAAGAGGTGTTCATAAGTTTGGAAAATCATATCATTGTCTGCAATGCTGCTCATGATCTTTGAATCACCAATACAGCACATCTGGATCAGCGGATACTGCTCTTGGACATATCGCACATCATATGTTACTTTACTTATTACATTCTGGTGAATCTACATTCGGGGCAAGTGTCTGTCAACTTTATTAAATTCTCCTGTTGCAATAGTACCACAGCATTTACACATTAGAAGCTACTCTATCATTATAAAGCATTTTCTTTTTATTTCTCTTTTAAACACTGTTAAGGCATTACATTTATTTTTGAAATCTTGCGTGTATAGATTTTACTACTTGTGAATTTCATGAAAGGGGTTAAAATATTTGTTCTATTTCATGTAAAGGGGTTAAAAATATTTGTCATAAAACAGAGTGTTGGGTCTGACAGGGTTGAACACCACCAACGTAACTCAACTAGTTAACCAATTAACTAGCCAAAGGAGTCAGTATTTGCAAGGGGAGCTCCTGGGACTATAAACCGAAGTGGCTGGGATGAATGCATTCTCTTTTATGCTTACTATTTATAAACACTTTGTTCTTGGAATTCAATTTAGAAATACCCTGAAGCAACTAGAGTTGGCTCCAAAAAGGACCCCACACTGTATTATGAATAACCCCTGCATCAAATCAACAGCTCTCCCCCCATGTGTCTTTCATGTTTGTTCTGTTCATTGGAGGTGAACCCACAGAGAGGGGTTTGAATATGATTCTTTTTTGCTGAACAGCGAGTGGTGGCTTATGAGCTGCTAAAAATTATGCATTAATTGAAGAAACAGTCTAGAAATCACGAGGGGAAAAAGTCCCATGTGATCCTTGACACCTAGAAAGGGGAAATACAAAGAGAGAGAGACAGAGACATAACTTTATCTCTCTGCTGGGCAAAATAGCATTTTATTTACTATTAGTTTGATAATTTTAAATAACACACATTTTGCCTTCTAGTCATCTCTAGTGCTCGAAACTGGTACGATGTGTAATTAGAGTTAATTCTTGGCATGGATCCTAGGTTGTTTGAAAATATATGTTGAGGAGCCAAATTTTAGGACTGGCATTGATTACAATGTGAACAATTAACTGCGTAGAAGAACATAAATAAACCTGTATTCAAGCCATAGGTAATAAATCAATGAGCCCACTGATTAAGCACACATCAGCATGTTGCTAGGTAGGTCAGGTCAAAGAGCCTTCCTGCTCTCGAGGGGCCTGGAGATCGAGAAAGACAACTCAGAATCCAAGGGCGCAGATGTGCAGGGTAGAGCTTGCCCAGATCACAATGAGAGGCAGCAGGGCACGTCAATTAGGATGTGGGTTCTGGAGCCAGTCTGCCTACTTCACATTCCAGCTTAGCCACGAATCACTGTGCGATCTTGAGCAAGTCCTTTAATCATTCTGTGTCCCCATTTCCTCACCTATAAAGTAAGGCGGATGGTAACAATTATATCCACTTGGCGAGGTTGTTATGAGGCAGAACTATTTAATACAGCTAAAGGGTTCAGAACAGTGTTCTGGCATTTAGTGAGTGTCCTATAAGCATTGGCTAAATTAGTTAAATTTAGCAGTTACCCGAATCAAATACAAATATTCTAATAAGAAGGTTCTCAAATTTCTATACAGGAACGAGTGTCTTGCCCTAGGGTGCGAATACCGTGGCAATACCAGGCTTGAACTCGGGTTGTACATGTATGTGTGTGGCCTGGAGAGGAGGCAATGATGAATATGGGAACACCAAGGCCCCACTCCCCACCTCCCACCCAGTGGTCACGTCACAGGACACTGACTATACCGTGTTGACATTAAGTATAGGGAGAGGGGGGAGAGCGTGTGTGAAACAGCGAGAGAAATCAGAGAGGTGGGATTTCCTATTTGATTTATTTAGCAGATATTTATGGAGGGCCTATTGGGTGTGAACTGTGATACTAGGCAACAGGAGTTGGGAGAGATTCTTGCCCTCAAAGGAATCTATGGTCTTTCTGAAGAAACACATCTGGCCAGACAGAAGAGAATGGAGTAAACGGGAGGAGGGACGGAGTTACAGGAGACCAGCTAAGTGGTACTGCAGTGGTCCAGCACTCCTCCCGGCCACTGGGAAGGCTGGGGGTTGGCAGGGCATGGGATGACAGCAGCGGGGAGCTTGGTGCCCATGAGCGGAGAGGCTACGGCGGGGGTGGGGGCGGCATACAGGAAAAGGCAGGGGGTAACACGATGAAGAGCTGGACCTGAAAGCCCCAAAACCGCTTTGGGGCCGAGTTATCCGTGACCAACTGAAAGAGGGAAGGCCTCTGTGTCAGGGCTGTCTGGGTACAAGTCCAAGTAAGACAATGGAACTGGCCTCACCAGAAAGAGGCCCATCACTGAGACTCTCCTATCCAGGTTTAAATGGAAGTTGCCGTTGGAGGGGGGTGCCTGGAAACCGGGCCCCAAGGCCCTCAAATTGTCCCTCTCCTCTCTTTGTTTGGTTTTTCACCTTTCAGGCTTTATCCTCTCAAAAGGCCAACACCCATGCTGGAGACTTGGTCTCCAGCAGCTGCCACTCCTGTCTTTCCAGGGTCAGGCCATAGAGGAGATGTCTCCCCTCCTCATTAGGAAAACATAATCCACGCAGGAACTGCTTGACAGGTCCCGAATCACGTGAGCAAAGCAGACCAATCTCTGGGGCCAGGGAAGGAGAGGCATCTAAGCAGAGGCAACCCCTGTTGGGTTTTCAGGGCTGGAGCTGGCGGGGAGGGTGAATGTCAAACACATTTCCACCCCAGCTTCTACCTGCTTGTGGGGCAAGAGTGCTGCCTCCCTCAGAAGTGGGTGGCATTACTGAGCAGACTGAGCCAATACGAGTTTTGTGGGAAGAGCACGGGGCTGGGGAGTTGCCCACGGACAGCATCAGGATGGATGTGGGGCAGAAGGTGGAAACCTGCAGTTGGAAAGAAGCTTTGCTCTCTTGACTCCAACTCAGAGGTGTGGGCTCCAACATTCTCTGTCCTGCATTGGATAACCCAGTCCCCTCTTGTTAGTTTGGGGAAATTAGCAGAATCAGAGGTCAGGAAAGAGTTGATTTGTTAATTTCTTCATTCTGACAAATCAAGACCCTGAAGACTGTCCTCCTGTGTGGGCAGCCATAGACGGCCTAGATTCAGGGTCACAGGCCAGCAGGGGAACCATCCGGAACCATTGCCTCAAGCAGAAACACAGTCCGTGCCGCAGACAAGCCCCACAGTAATGCAAACTGGTATGCTAGAACTATTCGCAATCTTTTATTTGCCTCTTCCTCTCTCCCTGGCTCACGCAATACCCAGTTTATGCAGAACCTTTCCTAAGCCCGGGCAACTCCCAAACTTTCAGCTACTCTCCTCACCCCTTCCTCTTCTTCTCCAAGACACATCAGTACTCATGGGGTTCTCCCTTTGGTCCTGGTGTTGGGCTGGGCCAGAAGTTGGCTGTGGCCTTGTCTTGACTTGACTGGGTGGGCGTTTCTTCCATGACACCACCTAGACCTAAGTGAGTCAGTGACCACTCTGCACGGTCTGCTCCACTGGATGAGCCCTCACACTAGCTCTCCCAGTGCACAAAGAGACCATTT